TTTTTTTTTTTTTAATAATCAGAATGGAGGTGTTAAAGAAACATTCTTCATTCTGTGCCCTTTTATTTTTATCCTCTCTTGTCCTACACCACTTTAATTCTGTGCATTCTATTGGTGTCAATTATGGCACCCTTGGAGATAACCTCCCACCTCCTGCTCAAGTTGCTCAATTCATCAAAGACAAGACCATCATCGATCGAGTCAAGATTTTTGACGTAAATCCAGACATCCTCCGGGCATTTGCCAACACCGGAATCTTCGTCTCGGTTACCGTGCCTAACGGTGAAATACCGAACCTTACCAACGTCCGGTATGCTCGAAGATGGGTGGATGCCAACATCAAGCCATTCTACCCACAGACTAAAATCAATTACATCCTCCTAGGCAATGAAATCCTACATTGGGGTCCTCAAAATTTACGAGACAACCTTGTTGCTGCAATGAAGACACTTCACAAGGCTCTCGTGCGTTCCGGATTACGCGATATTCGTGTTACGACAGCACATTCATTGGCCATTCTCGAGTCATCCCAACCACCTAGTTTGGCCAAGTTCAGACCCGGTTGGGACAAGGGTGTTTTGGCCCCAATGCTGCAATTTTTGAGGGAAACAAGATCTCCTTTTATGGTTAATCCATACCCATATTTTGGATACAGCCCAGAACTTGCAAACTTTGCACTCTTTAGGCCCAACAAAGGCGTATACGACAGGTTCACGAGAAGGACTTACACCAACATGTTCGACATGTTGGTGGATGCTGTGTTCATATCGATGAAGAAACTGGGATATGGAGATGTGGAAATTGTCGTGGGGGAGACCGGTTGGTCGTCTCAAGGTGAGGTATTCGAGCCAAAATGCACAGTCCCAAATGCAGCTTCCTACAATGGAGGCTTGTTGCAAAAGTACAACTCAGGACAAGGGACGCCATTGCTGCCTAGAAAGAAGTTTGAGACATACATATTTGCACTCTTCAATGAGAATCAAAAAACAGGTTCCACAGCCGAAAGAAATTTCGGGCTATTCCGGCCGGATTTTAGCGCAGTGTATGACATTGGCATCATGCGCGGAGGAGCAGCCACTGCAAAGCCTGTTCCCAGACCAGCATTGCCAGCACCAGCCACTCCAAAACCAAAACCGCAGGCCGGGAAAAAATGGTGCATGGCGAAAGCATCGGCCACTGACACGGCATTACAAGCCAATATCGACTATGTTTGCAGCCAAGGGTTCGATTGCAAGCCAATTCAACCTGGTGGTGCCTGCTTCAATCCCAACACAGTCAGGGCTCATGCATCTTATATCATGAATGTTTACTATCAAAAAGAAGGACGTAATAATTTCAACTGTGATTTCCGAAACACTGGTGCTATCACAGCTTCAGATCCAAGTAATGGGCCATGCATTTATGTGTCTTAAATCAGCTATTAAGGAGCAAAAGAAGAAATTAGTTATTTATATGCATTAGGTTGTCATCCTCACTAGTTTTGGGATAATATGCAGTCTTTCAATTGATGTAACTGAACACTTGTCTGAAAATTTAATTCATTCTTGTTCTTTATTTTTTTTTTTAATTCTTGAATAAGAAACTGAAGAATTTTTTTGCCCTTTCCATGCTTTTCTTTGCTCACAGATTTTGTTTAATTGTGCTGCATTTGTGTTCTTGCCCTTGTTTGATTTCCTTGCTTCTAAAAATTCATTTTTTCAAAACTCATTTTCAATCACACATTCTTCAATAAAATAATATTACACGTAAATTCAAAACTTTTCTTTAATTTTTAACCACATTCTACATAAATCTACTATTCAAAAATGCATTATTTTCCCCAAAATTGGGATGAAACAACGGTAAAATACAAGACTTGAAATGAAGGCTTCACTGATAATTCCATACTGGCATATTGTGGTTTCGGGGTGGTCGGGGGCTAGACTGGAGCTGTTGATGGTGGCGGTAGCCACGGAGGAATGTGCTGGTGGTGGTGGGGTAGGGAGGAACGATGGACATGAGTTTGTTTTAATTTTCCTATTCTCTTTAATTTCTCGTTTGGTTAAGAATAAGGTTTGACTTTATTTCTAGTTAAATTTGACTTCTGCAATAACGCTTACAAGCGCAATAAAATTGAAAGAATTGAGGACTAAAATAAATGACACAAAATGAAGTAATGATTAAAATAGAAGAGTGCAATTTTATTTAAACAGAACTTGTGGCACTAACCAGACTCAACTGTCAACTCCCACTTGTGTGACACTTGAGACTTATTAGCCCGATAAGATGCATTGCTTCCACCATGCCAACGGCAACATACATCGCTAGAATCACAGCAAATGGCTCGTTCTAAACTTTGGTATCTTATCAGCGAAAATTAAATGCTCTGAGAATGGCGAGCTCTGGACATCCGTGTGATGTTCTTCTTCTTTCGGCACGTAAAGCAATATTAACCAATTCCCATCATTCTTCTTCTTAACAGAACAAATAGATTCAATAACTTCTTCATAAGCATAAAGATCAGTCCACAACCAAACTTTCACTTTTGAACCAACCAGGTTCTCACCATACTCTATAGCTCAAGGTTGCTTGCTCTGTGCACGGAGTTTTCCCTCTCTTGGCACCCATTTCTTGGTGTTTCTTCTTGATTGCTTTCATATGTATCATTCTCTACTTTAGCGTTCACAACTCCACACCTCTGGCTGTGTTACCACCATTTTTGAAAAGTATTCTTCTCAGCCACCACTTTATCTTCATTGGTCTTCTCAGAAGGTCGCATTTTTATCAGTAGTTCATCCCAAACACGAGTAATTATCAGCAGCAATTCTAGATAAAAGGCTGTAACCAACTAGATAATATTGAATAATTTCTATTACTATAATATGACTTGGCCATTCATAGTAAAGGATTCTAGAGATTCCAGCCTCTTTCGATCAAATAGTAAATGATCTTTATCCTCTATCTCTAAATACTTCATTTCTGATCCTAGCAATTCTGACATCCTAAAAATCTCCTCAGACAAGGGGTGAGACTTGTCCCCGGATGAAAATCCATGCATATATATGGAATCATCAACATTGCCTACATCTGCCCAACTAAAGCCGATTTCTTTCGTTACTTTCCTATCTCTCATCATTTTCCTCATTTTAGCTACATTCTCCCACTTCCCCTTCTCTGCAAACAAGTTAGACATCAATACATAAGAACCTGAACCCTCAGGTTCCTTAGCAATCAGAGCATCGGCCACCCTCATAGCAATCTCCTCATTTCTGTAAATCCTGCAAGCCCCAAGTAAGCTTTGCAGAACAGATATTCCTGGTCCTCCAGGAATCCGATTTACAAACTCTTCAGCAGCATCAAGACTCCCTGTCCGGCCCAGCATATCTACCATACAAGAATAATGCTCGGGATGTGGTTCGATAGAATGTTCATTAACCATTGAATTGAATATTTCAATTCCCATTTCAACCATCCCCTTTCGACCACAAGCTGTTAATATAGAGAGGAACGTGATTGAGTCAGGTCTCACACCACTCTTCACCATCTCCTTGTAACAATTCATGACTGACTCATAGTCCCCATGCCTTGCATGGGCGGAGATTACAGCTGTCCAAGCAACTTGACTTTTCTCAGCTAACCCATTAAATATCTTTTGAGATTCATATATGCTCCCACGCTTTGCATACATGTCAAGAAGAGCACTTGAAACAATCGGATCAGTGTCCAATCCAAGCTTCGTTATATAACCATGAAATCGTTGGCCCTGCCTCAGAGAAATTGATTCAGATGAAGCAACTGCATTTAAGACACTGCCAAATGTATAATGGTTTGGTTGTAATCCCATTGAGGCAGACAAAAAATTCT